ACGAGAGATAAAATATTGTGTTATTTAATTTTGACTTATCCAACATTTAAGTAAACAGGCTTGATACAATCGCCCCTGCTTGTCAATAAACCCATGTTGTTGTTAAAATTACATTATTCTGTAATTGAACGTTTCTTGTGTTCAAAGAAAAACTTCTTTTGTGTTTTTGAATGTGCTTTGTTTTTGGAATGTGCTTTGTATTCTTATTGAATTTCCATCTTTGATTAATGGTTTTCAGTTTTAATGCATGACCAATCAAATTGTTACTATTGAATATCTTTTTACGCTTATTGACTTGCACAAAATGCGCTATTGAGATTCCGATTTGTATTTCTGAATATTTTAAATTATGTTAACGCCATTTTTTTTTTGTTTAATGAAGGGCAAATGGTGTATTTTCTTGTTACACCCATTTTTTTCTTAATTTTTTTAGTAAATAATTTTTATCCCGGAATAATTCCCAAGATGATTTCCTATAAATTTTATCATATTTTCAATTTTGCTTTTAACATGGCTGTTAATATTTGGAATTTTTTAATTGCATCACCTATCTATTTTTACCATTTCAGGAGGAATAAAATTTACTACATTATCTTCTCTTTCGTAAAAATCAATGATATCAATGAAGGTCATATACGAATTGCCTCATAATTGTCTTTGGCATTGAATTTTGTATACTTATCATCTTGTATATACGTCAATTGTTGGGATATCCATGTTTGCAAGATATGGGAAGTGCATGTTTTAATTTTTTAGATCCTTTATTGACATTTAAATGCAATTATGTTGTAGGACAGGCGGATCTAGGGGTTGTCAGATGAGTAGGTCACGCGACTAGGTCAAAAATTACACAAGTCCAGGTCGAAATATTTAAACTCCAGTCAGCGAAAAAAGTCATGCCATAAATTAACAGTCCAGTTAAAAGTTGTCAAAAGTGTTTTAATGCACATCTTTTTCAATCATAGGCAGCCCATTGGCGAATGGTTTTATTTGATTTAAAAATGTACACTTTGATGAAATTCAGGCATATGTAATTTATTTACATGCTATTATACTTAAATCCTGTTCCTTACAACGGGCGACTTGAGTGTCTGACAAGGTAATGTAGTTAGCTATTATATAGTATAATATATCCTAAGGTAGGCAACAACTTCAATCACAATATTTACATGGACACATGCAAACAATCTGAAAATACGTCAATTTATCCCTAAAACTAAGCTAAAATAACAAGAGAAATGAAATCTACGATAATTTTACTATACACTGATTATATTTTAATAATTAAAAGAAGTTATCAAAGCCAGAAAAATGCGAAAAGTTTTTGAAAATTTACTCACTTTTTGAATGGGCTGATGCTGGACCTGCGCTGTTGACTTTTAAAAACATTTGAAAATGACAAGTTTGTAATCTCATTGGCTGTTTTTGTTCTTGCTGTTGTGACAGTCAATCAGATTACAAACTTGTCATTTTCAAACATTCCTAAAAGTCAACAGCGCGGGTCCAGCATCATCGGCCCATTCAAAAAATGAGTAAAATATCAAAAACTTTTCGCATTTTTCTCACTTCCATAACTTATATTAAATATTAAAATATTTAATGAACGAAATTGCGGATGTTCGACCGTTTTACGATTCGTCCATGCTAACAATTGCAAGTTGTTGCATTAAAGCTGCTTTCCACTTACGCGTGTTTTTTTCCGTACGTATAGGTAAAAAAATGTACGTATTTCTAATCTCCAGTGCCGCGTAAAAAGATACAAAGCGCGGTAAAATTTAAATATGGCGTCGCAGGAGGAGTGTGAATTAACCATGCTCATTTTGCTTCGCCAAAGACGAAAAAGACAAAATAAATACAAAAAAAGGTTCTGGATGAAAGATATTCTTAAAACTCGAAAAGAACTTGGCGAATACCATCGTCTAATACAAGAAATGAGGCTGAATGATCATGAGTCTTTTTTCCAGTATTTCCGAATGACTCCAAGCCGTTTTGACCAACTGCTTGCTCTCGTTGGGCCATACTTAAGGAAAGAATCGTTGCTTCAAGAGCCTATAAGGCCTGCAGAACGCTTGGCTGTAACACTTAGATTTCTAGCAACAGGAGACTCTCAGAAAAGTATACCGTTCAGTTTTCGCCTTGGTCATGCTATGGTGACCAAAATTGTCGAAGAAACTTCTGAAGCTTTGTGGACGTCTTTGCAAGCCTTTATCAAAGCTCCCTCGAGCCCAAGCGAGTGGAAAAAAATCGCTATCGACTTTTGGCAGCTGTGGAACTTTCCAATGTGCTGTGGAGCCATTGACGGCAAGCATGTGGTCATGCAATGTCCTCCTTGTGCTGGTTCCTCTTTTTTTAATTACAAAGGTATAAAAATAATATAGTATATTGAGATAACATTACCTTTGGAACAACATACAGTATATGCTCATTGCTTTATGGGTAAATAAATTGGAAATAAGGCATGTATTTTTTTAGGAACTCACAGCATCGTACTTTTGGCAGTGTGTGATGCCAGATACCTGTTCACTCTGGTTGAAATAGGTAGTTCAGGCAGAAATAGTGATGGAGGTGTTTTTGGTGAATCTCAGTTTGGGAGGGCTATGGAAAATGGCAGTCTAAAATTACCTCCACCAGCTCCCCTTCCTAATAAACCAAGGGAAATGTGCCCATATCTATTTACTGCTGATGATGCATTTCCCCTGAAAACCTGGATGATGAAGCCACATCCTGGGAAGTTCCTTCCTGAGAAACACAAAATTTTCAATTATCGTCTATCGCGAGCGAGAAGAGTAATTGAGAATACTTTGGTATCACTGCTGCTAGATGGAGGGTTCTTAGAAGACCCATTCAAGCATCAGCTAAAAAGGTGGCAAGCATAACTAAAGCTGTTTGTGCACTTCACAATTATCTTATGTTGGAAGAATTTGGTATTCCTAGTCCATCAAAAAGGTATTGCCCTGCTGGATTTATTGATACAGAGGACAGGTATAGTATTCGAGAAAGTGTTTTGTGAGTATTACTGTTTGTTCAAAATGACAAAAGTTTTGTCATTTTGAACAAACAGTAATTTACAGTATTGATCCTATTAAAATCATTTTCATTGTGGTCTTACCACCACAAGCAGTACTTAAGTATAAAAAGCAATATCAAAACTTTAACACAATAAGAGAATTGAGTTACTATACTATTTTCAAAATCCTTCTGGTAATATAGAGGCCCTTGCAAAAGTGGCTCAGCCCCAAAAATCTCTTTAAAGTGTCTTTGAATTCCAAATTAAGCTACCTAATGTACTCTTTAACATTTTATAGATATGGGCAAAACTTGCCTGGAGGATGGCGAACCATGACACAACATGACACAGGCTTGCTACAAATTCCAAGGCAGGGAAGCAACAACTATTCAAGAGATGCCAAGTCTGTTCAGCATTTATTAACAAGTTATTTTAACTCACCAGAAGGGGAAGTACCTTGGCAATATGCCCACGTGCAAAATGATGGAAGAAGAGAAAAATAAGAACAATGTTGTATATATTTGTACAGAATAAATTAGGCTGGATCGATATACCGGATATATCCGGTATACCAATATTTGTTTAGATACCGGTATCGCGATATTGACAATTTAAGAATACCGATATACCGACATTTCGGTATTTTGATGTGTAATACCGGTATGAAACGCTATTTCAAGTCAAACTTGCTTACAATCACGTCTAGAAACCAAAGTTAAGCAGCTTTTGTTTAGCAATACGAACTACGAACTTACGAAGAGACGTAAATATATGGCGAAATTCTGGAAGAACAATTTCGGTAAAAAGGAATCTTTGCTTTTGCAAAGTGGAAGCACTAGCATAATAGCATTAAGCATTTACGAAGCAACCTTTCAAGTTTGTTTGGAAATATTTATCAGGCAGTATAAGAAGGTAACTTTTTGTTGTTTTAAATAATCTTATTTAACTGACATGGCATGTTGCCATGTTAACTTGTTTATGTTTAAAAAATGCAACGTTTTTTACCAGTGGCGTAGCCAGCCTGACGATTTTGTCCCGCTATGTAAATTTCGAGTTATCATAATTATTCATTTCTTTAGAAATTTATTGTCTTCACAGTCAATGAACACCAAAATATTAGCATAGCGGGACAAATCGTCAGGCTGACTACGCTACTGTTAATAACTATTAGCAGCTGACTGAAACACTGAATTTGTAAAATTGAATTTCCCTGGGAAAATAAATAAACACGTGTCTTTGTCTTTGAGCATGTGCCATGCCTTAATAACAATTTTCTGCTCAAAGAATTCATGGTGATCGAATAAAGAATAAAGAAAAGTATTCGCATGGGCAAGACTAAGCGCAGTCCCGTTTGGAACTACTTCACTCCCGTAGGGGACGTTGATCCAAACAGATCGACTTGCAATTTATGCAAAGAGAAGTAAGAGCTGGTGACTCTAGTACTTCCAATTTGTTCAACCATCTGCGCATTCATCACACACAGCAATATTTACTTGTGAAACCGCCAGTTTGTCGAGCCACCAAGACAAGTCAGACAAGTTCTGCCTCGAGTTTTGTTTCGACTTCTAACCCTCTGAGTGATGCTTTTCAACGTGCCACTCCTTACGATCAACATGGCCAAAAGTCCCGTACGTTAACGACAGCAGTGACGTATTGTATCGCCAAGGACGCTATGCCATTTTATACAGTTGAGAAGGAGGGTTTCCGTACCATGTTAAAAGCCTTTGACCCTCGCTATCAGCCACCCAGCAAGAGTCAGATGACTAAAGTGCACATCCCAAAGCTTTATGATGTTACGCGCAAACGTGTTCAAGACGAACTGAAGGACATTGGCTTTTTTTCGGCGACGACCGATATGTGGTCATCTCATGGCATGACTCCTTACTTAGGATATACTGTACATCACATTGACCATGAGTGGAATTTGAAAAGCCACTCCCTTGGAACACGATTTGTTTCACAGGATCATAATGCAGATATTCTGGGTGCTGCCATGACGGAGTTGTTAAAAGATTGGGATCTTGACGTAAAAAAACAAGTGTGTGTTACAACGGATAATGGATCCAACATAATCAAGGCGACAAGAGACTTAGAATGGCCGCATTTGTCATGCTTCGGACATAATTTGCACCTCGGCATCACAAAGTTTATCGATAACGATCGCCGTCTGAAGCGTTCTCTTGGGTTAGCTCATAGTATTGTAGCGCAGTTCAACTATAGCTGGAAGAAAAGGCGTGACTTGACTGCATTGCAGGTGAAGGAAAACAAGACACCAAAGGCTCTAGTATCGGTAATTACTAACTTATTTATCAATCCTATTAAAATTTAATTTAATTATTGCTAACAGTAACAGATACATTTTGACTCCCTTGCAGGACTGTAGAACAAGATGGGGATCTACCTATGCAATGTTAGAGCAGATTGGAGATAATATCGACGCAATACGCGATATTATGAAGGCTGACAGAAAGACCAAACATCTCATTCCCACCTGGCAAGATAAGGACTGTTGGGAAGCGATATCGAAGGCTCTGCGCCCTGTAGCAGCTTTGACCGACTTGTTATCTGGCCAAAATTATGTTACAGTGTCCTCGCTCAAGATTTTATACTGGAAACTTGAGAAGATGATCTTAGCACACGACGAAAATGACCCAGAATTGACAAACGACTTGCGTGCCGCGATCATGGCAGAAATATTGGAGAAAGCACAGAAAATGGCAGAAAGTTTATTGATCATCAACATGTCGTCCTTTTTGGATCCACGATATAAAGTAAATTAACTAACTAAGCAATCATAATTGACATAATTACATGATAGTTCTAAATAAAATTCTTGTCTTTCCCTTGATGGGACGCATATACGCTTTCACTGTATTTCTTAAATTATTTCTACAGGCTGACTGTCTTTCAAACCTGGAACTCGAGGAAGTGAAGAGTGAGTTAATCGATGAAATTGTGGCGAACGAGCCTACCGTTGTCCCAGAAGAGACGCTTCAAGAGACGCCATCACCAGCAAAAAAGCAACGCACAATGACTCTTGCTTCATTTCTCGGCAACATCAAACCCAACACCGTAGAACAACAAAGGAACAGCGAAAGAGAAACACCAAGACAAAAGTCAAGAAAAGAGATTGACAGCTACCTTTCAACTAGCTCGCTGGACCTGATTAGTGAATCAGGGGTTGAAACCGAACCACTTGCTTGGTGGCGAGACCATTGCCGTGACTTTCCACTTCTTGCAAAACGTGCGAGAAAGTATCTCTGTATACAAGCGTCCAGTTCCCCGTCTGAGCGACTGTTCAGCAAAGCTGGTCAAGTTATAACACCTCAACGAACTCAGCTGAACCCAGAAAAGGCGAACATGCTAGTATTCCTTGCAGAAAACCTTTAAAAACTAAATGTCGGGATGTAGTGTGAAGTTAAGAAGTTTGATTTTAATCGGAAATTGCGTTGTCGTTATTCGTTAATTACTGTATCTCGTTGATGGCAGATCGTTGAAGTTCAGATGATCGATAACGGCGCTAAGCGCCAATTATTTAATCTTGTGACATTTATAATAACAGTATGTGCCACATTTAATATTTTGTCACAACTTGATTTTGCTCGGCGTGTCGCAGTTATTTTTGGCATAAAAAAGCACGTTAAAAATACCGGTATATCCGTATATACCGCTATTCTGATGGCGATATATCGGTATTCGCGATATCGATCCAGCCTAGAATAAATTAAATTTTAAAATTAAACAGTACATAAATTTGAGTGAATACAAGTTAATGAATTTAAATGCATAATAATGTTATTTATAAATATAAATTAATGTAAATTTGAACACAACAAAAAGTATGTTTTTAACAACAATAAAATGTTAGTTTAACTTTGAAAATTCTGGATTACTCAGAATACCCATTGTCGCATTCAAACCAACTGTTAGTTGCAGTTTGTGCTTCACACAAAACCAATTGAATTTTGCTCATTGCCATACCTTTTGCTTTCTTATCCAACAGATGAAGCTGAGCAGCAACACTTTTACCAAAAGCATCTTCTGCACTTGTCATGGGCGTATTGGGTGACTGACCTTGTGCAGGCTTTTTATTACTTCCAGACATATACTCATTTTTACATCCCAGGCCTGATCTAGTTGCTTTTGTGACATTGATGCATAAGACCTTTTCTTCCTGGGTAGCTCTAAGGTTTCACATTCAAAATCACCAGAAATCATGGTTGGGGGAGAATCTGGTTTCTGTGACATTGGTTCAGTTTGCAATTCATCAAAATCACCTGTAGGTTCTGGCTGACTCTGGTCAGATGGTTTGCTTGAATTTAAATCCTGGGTTTGCTGTACAGCTGGTTGGAAATTGGAATCAGCACTTTTTGCTCGTATATTAATATAAGGTTTCAAGAATGACATTGCCTGGAGGTAAGCAAAGTGAGGAATTTCGTCAACGCCAGATCCACTTTTCTTTACATTTAATGCACGAACATACGAGTCACGAAGGTTTTTCCAAATTCTTTCTTTATAATCGCATACTATGAACAATATTTAAATTAGGCTTGATTAGCTGCTGCATAGATGAATGTTAATTAAGTGGGTTGCCTTTTTTTGATACACCCTATATATCCATGTAATGCATCAAACATTGTTATAAAAATACACAACAGAGTAGAAGCTTAATATAAATAAGCATTTATTACCTGTGTAGCTTGAATCACAGGCCTCATTAACACAAATGGCCACCGCTTGCCACGCATTTTCCTTGACTGTTTTGATTTTATAATTACTGTCCTTTGTATTCCAAAGCGCGGGAAACTTTTGAATCTCCTCAATTAGTTTCACCTCAACTTTTGAGTACTTCCCCATCTTTTTCCGGCTTAAATTTCAACTAAAATCTCTGACTTCGAAAGGTTGAAGAATGGACTAATAAGATGGATAATTGAAAACAATCTCACGTCACGTGATCTGAAAACTAATTTTCATTGGTTAATCGCTCGCGTATTCAAATTTTGTCGCGTAAAAGTTGAAGATCGATCAACTCGCGCATTTACGCTTGCGGAGAACACATACGGAAAACGTGCGTGCACGCACGTAGAAAAACGCATAAGTGGAAAGCAGCCTTTAAAGGTTTTTAGGTTAAACTTTAAAAAAACATCAAATGGTTTTAATCCCCAAGCAAGGATATCAGGGAATAAAAATCAATCATTAATGGCATTATGTTGGTTAAATTCTATTCCTAATTTAATACATTCAAAATGCATCGAAATGGTGAAACGCAAATTTGTGCGTGATGTGTTGTAGATGGGATTCGATGAGAACACAAACACTGCATATCAGTTTCACAGATATTATTTTCACAGGTGTAAAAAAATGTTTTGAGCTCTAAGCTTTTAATACAACAACTGATGAAAGTTTTTTTATTTGTGAGAAAAAACAAAACGATTCACAAAATTAATGTTATCACAGAGATATAAAGTTATTGAAAAATGGGAATGTGATTTTCTATTTGAAAATAAGTTAACTGAATAAAAAAGGTTGCACATGAGAAAAAAAAATTCATCTTTTTACCACTTGAGCCAAGAGATAGTCTTCTTGGTGGGCGAACATGTCCTGTTTATTTAAATTACGATGTAAGGTGGAAAAATTTGTGAAAAAATTAATTTACATCTCTTTACCAATATGTTGTGAAAAATAAATTTCCAATTGGTCATCCTGACATTTACTATTACAACAGCTAAGGACAATGAGAACCGATAATTCAACAGAACCCGATCAAATACTGGCCAAATTCGTATAAATTCATATTCACATTGCCTCACCGCTTACTTGTATCCTAAATGAATACTCAGACATTTGCCCGGATGGATCAAGCAGCATTCCTTCTTGCTTCTCGAGTGTTTGATTATGTTTTGTTGTTATTTTCTTTACACCATCCAAAGTGTGTACTTTTGCCTTCACTGTAACATATTGTTCAGCTATTGCATTTTTTATCGAGTCCAGCAAAGTGACTTTCGCCTGTATTCTAAAAGCTCACTCACACTCAAACTCATTGAGTGGGAGATCTTAATCTTCTCATAACGTTTCAATGGCGGTATTTCAAGCTGAATAGGAGCTTGATTTTCAGTGATTTACCTTATATCTTTCCATCTATTCAGAGAAAACTTTCTCATTGATTAGCATTAACAAAATTTATATGTCACGCTAATAAGTGTGAGTGAGCTTTTTGAATACAGGCGTTTGTCTGATAGCACAAAATTTGGTGTGAAGATTTGTTCTTCAGTCAACGTGTATATACTGTATATTCCCGATTTATAAAGTCACTCTAGTCTGTCTATTGTGTATATTGTGTATATAGTGTATACATATACACAATATATATGTCTATAGTCAAAACTGTATATACTGTATATTCTCGCTTTTATAAACTTGCTAGTCTGTATATAGCTAGTATAAAGTAAAAAGCAAATTCAGAATAAACAAGACATCTTGAGAATCAAAATATAATTCAAACAAGACACATATTGAGACTGTAAATTTTCGACTTTATTACAAAGTCATCTTCAGACAGAATGAATTACAATACTTTACAACGCATATATATACAACACAGAGAGAGAGCGCACGTGCCAATCCAGCATGTAGGCGGAAGGCAGGTAAACCAACCAGAGCGAAACATGATAAGGTATATAGTGTATATATAGTGTATCTTGTGTATCTATTTTAATCTATAGCCAATTACATTTGGTCTTTGCGTCTCAGTTCAGATTCCAAATCATTGTTAAATCGCTCGTTTACAAACCAAAACAAAACATTGCGCTTAAATTGTAACATCTTTCTTGTCAACTTAAAATACTCATTCAATCTACGGAAACCTTGCTCACATGATTCTGTGTTCGTGCCTCTGATCACATCAAATTCCGGTAACAGTGGATGGTATTTACATTTAGGATTATTTGGAGGCATACACACTTCTTCTGTATGTTTCGATACATGGAAAATGTCCACCAAAAATTTCACATTTTCCAATGATATCTTTGCCCCAGCACTGCCATTTCGACGTTGGTTCTTCAAGAAAGGAACTAGTCCACATGCGCGATCGTAACCAACAAACTTTAATCTTTGAAAATCCTCGGTATTATCACAAAACGTTCTTAGTATGAAAAGGAATACTTGTGTTAGTGATTCACAAGTAAACATCTCCGTCATGCTTACCACAATACCACATGGACGTATAAGGGCATGGATACCGGCTGTTGTTTCGAAAAACAGTGAAATATTCTTCTTTTTCTTTCATCCTTCGTCACTCTCTTCTTTTTCTTCAACAACACACGAGTATTGTTCAGCAGCAGAATTAAATTCTATAGGCATATCCACCTGATCGCATACGTCCTCCGACTCGTGCGTTGCATGCACTCTACAGAACTTTGAAGGAGCTTCGCTTTTCCCGCCACATATTGGAGAGTTCGTACAACACCTAAATACTTCGGGAAGGTCACAACGTAATCTCACTTTCTCCTTCGGTAGAGCACATTTTGCGCGTTTCAAGTACTCGTTTCCATCCACTGTAACATAACCTTCTGCGCATCCTTTAGTTTTACATTTGTGCCTTACCCACTTTTTCGGAGAGCAGCATATATCTTTCCATACTAACTCACACAGTTCTTCCGTATTCAGATGTTTACTTTTTTCATCGTACTTAACATCTAAGTGCGTCCGCTCAAGTTCGCCTTTCTTGTGGAAATAATTTACCACTATCCACATGAACCAGGCGTCGTTTACGCGATCTTCATTTATCAAACACTCAGCATCTTTCGTTCTAGCAAATTCTTTCATATCTGCTAGTCTCTCGTTATTCTTTTGCGCGAAATTAGCGTTATACACTTTAGCACGCGACTGGAATGTACAACCACTCACCCATATGTTATTTGAAATATCTTCTAACAACTGTTTATCAAACACTGTTTGTGACATTACTTGAAAATATTGCATGTTTTCATCACACGGATTATAGTAGACACGTTTGTTGTCCATAGTTTTATAGCTCGGATAAAATGTTGTTTTGCAGTCAGTGCATTGACCGTGGAATTGCGCTCCTACGTATGTCCCATTTATAGTGTATACGAAAGGAAATGATGGCCGGTTGTCCATTTTAATTCGCTTGCCACAACAGTCTAACACAGGGGGTAGAAGAATAACTTTTTGGTTTGCCGTTCTTCCACTGACGTTCAGTCGATTAACATTGTACTCGTTCGATAACAAAAATGAATAATTTTTGCATAAAAATGTGCTCATCATTCGGCAGTCTTGTTTCTTCTTCAAATCTACATATCTTTTAGTAACGCTTTCTTGCTTACCGATACACACAGTTGGTATATCTTCGCCCGGATTATTTGCTTGAC